TCAAGATTCGGCAAGGACCAACCTTTTTGTGCTTCAGCTTATTGTAGGTACCAATGGGAAAGCGCTCCTTTCGCAAGAAAACCATGACCTCATCGCCTACTTCAAAAATTTTCGAACGGCGTCGTTTATCAGCATCTTCCTTATACTTTGAATTCGAAGCAGCTAATTGGCGAGCAACATCCGCTTGGACTTCTTGAATTCTGATTGCCAGATGTTCTGCCGCGACACTATAGCCAGGAATCTTGGGCAAGGGAACCAAATCCAAAGTATGCTGCGGAGTACGCCCATATATGATCTCAAAAGGAGATTTTCCAGTGGAACGGTTAATAGTGTTGTTGAAGGCGAACTCAGCAGGAGCAAGATACCGATCCCACTGCTTAGGCACATTACTACAGAGGCATCGAATGATATCTGCCATAGTACGGTTAACAACTTCCGCTTGACCGTCCGTTTGGGGATGAAAAGAGCTGTTATATTGTAAATCAGTCCCAAACAGATGCCATAAAGTACGCCAAAAATGGCTTAGGAATTTCGTGTCACGATCAGAAGTGATTGTCTTTGGTACACCATGAAGGCGGACTACCTCTCGAAAAAAACAAACTTGCCACATGTGAAGCGTTCGAAGTTTTCTTGCAAGAGATAAAGTGCGCCATCTTGGAAAACCTGTCAACCACCACAGATACAGAATCCACACCTCGTTGGGTGCGAGGAAGTCCCAACACGAAATCCATCAAAATATCCACCCACGGACCAGAAGGAACAGGCAAGGGAGTATAAAGGCCAGTGTTCTGAGAGTGCCCCTTAGTTGTCTGACAAATGTAGCACTTACTGACAAATCGTCCCACGTTGCGCTTCAGTTGCGACCAATAGTACCGTTCCTCCACTAAGGCCACAGTTTTATCACGTCCCAAATGTCCACCAAGAGTACCACCATGAAGCTCTCAAATGAGTTGTTCCCGCAAAGAACTACGAGGAATGCATAGTCTATTGCCGAAAAACAAGAATCTGTCGTGAATTATCATATTGCCATGGGAACCTGCTTCAGAACACTTCTCCCATATAACACCAAAATCTTCATCTTCAGGATAAAGAAAACAAAGTTGATCAAAACCAACAACATCAGTGCGCATAGTCACGAGTGTCGCAGCACGTCGACTGAGTGCATCCGCCACTTTATTTAAACGGCCTGCCTTATGACGAAGCACAAAATTAAACTGCTCCAAAAAAGAAACCCATCGTGTATGCATCCTATTCAAATGCTTCTGACTCTTGATGTATTTAAGAGCTTGATGATCAGTATTAAGAACAAATTCTTGCTGATAAAGATAGGACTGCCAGTGCTTTATAACGCGCACTACAGCATAATACTCTTGCTCATACGTAGACCACCGCCGACAAACTTCATTAAGTTTCTCACTAAAAAAAGCAATAGGCTTACCTTCTTGGGAAAGAACAGCGCCGATTCCAATACCCGAAGCATCGCAGTCCAGCTCGAACACTTTCTCAAAATCAGGGAGCATCAATACTGGTGCCGTTGAGAGTTTTTCTTTGATAAGCTTGAAGCTGGCCGAAGCTTCGTCACCCCAATGGAATTTGCCTTTCTTTAAACAATCAGTGATCTGGGCTACAATTGTACTGAAATCTCGAATAAAACGTCTATAGAACGTCGCAAGGCCATGGAAACTTCGAGCATCGCCAACATTCTGTGGAACTGGCCAATCACGGATCACAGCTACCTTTTCTGCATCAACGTGAAGACCATCTGCTCCAACGACAAAACCCAAGAAAAGGAGTCGCTCGGTCATGAAGCTGCACTTCTTCAAATTAATAAATAATTGATTTTTCTGCAAGGTTAGCAGGACATCTCTCAAGTGCTCCATGTGCTGTCGATCGTCCGGACTATAGATGAGAATATCATCAGAGAAAACAACCACAAACTTGCCAATAAAAGGTTTGAGCACCTGAGTCATCAAACGCATAAAAGTACTAGGCGTGTTAATGAGTCCAAACGGCATGACAAGCCATTCGTACAAACCTGCACTTGTTTTAAAGGCGGTCTTCCACTCGTCACTTGGACGGATGCGAACTTGGTGGTAGCCGCTTCGAAGATCGATCTTCATAAAGACTCGTGATCCAGCAAGTCTGTCCAGCATGTCATCAAGCCGGGGAATTGGAAACCTATACTTGATAGTTATCCGATTAATGGCACGGCTGTCAACGCACATACGCATACTGCCATCTTTCTTCTGCTGAGAAGTGCAGGAACGGCACAAGGGTTTTTGCTCTCGCGCAAGAAGCCTTTGCGTAGGAGCTCTCCCACCTGCTCTTGTAAAATCTGGTTCTCCTTTGGATTCATCCAATAATGCGGCAGATTAGGGAGACTGGCACCTGGTAGAAAGTCAATCTCATGTTGGATATCCCTCAGAGGAGGTAATCCGTCGGGTAAATCATCTGGCATGACATCACAGAACGCCTTTAGCAAGGGCTTAAGAGCTTCAGGAATACAAACAACAGTATGTTGTTCACCCTTCTCTACAAGCATGTACATTCCTTCACGTTTACGAACATTCAACATAACTCCTGCACTTTGCACAACACCAAAACCCTGTTTCTTTGGAACCTGGGGAATATTACCCCTCAGCTTCAAGGTAATTTTACTCTTATTCCATATAAAAGAATAAATATTCTCCCTAGCTCGATGAGTGATATCCACGTCATATTGCCATGGTCGCCCTAATAACACATGACATGCATCCATCTCCACAACATCGCACACAATAGTATCCTGATATGACTTTCCAATTGAAATAGGTAAACGACATACATGTGTTACCCTAAGCTCTGGTCCTTTGTGAATCCACCTGATTGTATAAGGCGCGGAATGTGGCTCCGTCTTCAACTATAAGTGATCCACTAAAGCCTTTGATACTATATTCTCGCAACTTCCGCTGTCAATAATAACATCGCATACCCTGCCGTTGACAGTACATCGAGCGAGGAAAAGCTGATTTCTCTGGGTGTCCTCTATCTGCGGAGCAAGCAATAAACGACGAACAACACAATTCACTTGCTCGCCCGCCTCATCTTCCACTTCTTCTTCATCCACCCAATCTTCCTCATTCATCTCATCTTCATGCTCAACGATATTGGCCATTTTCCGACGGGGACAATCGCTTGAACGATGGCCCAATTCGTTACACTTATAGCACTTGATCGGTTGCGGCTTGGCATAAGGATTCTGGACATTCGGAGTACGGTTGTTTGCCGTGACTGGTTCCTTAGGCATCCCAGTAACACTTCCCGACGCTCGGTTCGTATCACCAGTTTGCTGATTTGAGGAACCTGAGACATCAATCTGCTTCCCCTTTCCGAATGATCCACGACCCGAATAATTGCTTCCACGAATACTAGGGCTAGTCCTCTCCAATTGCATCTCAATTTTTCGCGCCATCTCTTGGGCATCTTCAACAGAAAATACACGATGCAAAGAAACACGATCTTGAATGTTCAGTCGCAAGCCGTTTATGTACCTAGCAGTTTGTTGCGCTTTCGATTTAGCTAGGTCATTGTGGGCGGAAAGTCGGAGGAACTCTTCCGTATAAGCTTGGACTGTTCTGTTCGACTGCTTGCAATGCTGAAATTGCTGAAACAACAGTTGCTCATAATCAGTGGGGAGAAACCACGATTTCAGCATCTGTTTTATTCGATTCCACATTCGAATGGGAGCTTTTCCTTGTCGACGTCGGGTTAATTGCATCTGCTCCCACCAAGCCGAAACGCCACCCTTCAATTTGTCCGTCGAGACAAATCAAATTCGTAAAAATGAAGAAAAAATTTTCTCTAAGATTATTTTTCGCGAAACAATCTAGCCTTAATTGTCCCGAAGAATCATAAATATCCTAACGCAGTAAATCCCAAGGCAGTGGTTTCGTAGTCCCCCGTTTTTGGATGTCCGTTTCGTTTTTGACCTGGTCAAAACTGTGGATTTCATTTCCCGTGATTACGAAGTAGGAGTTAACCGGAGTCTCTCTCCCAAGTGCTGCTAAACTAAGAATTAGTTTAAATACCATTTGGGAACTTCGACGCTCCAAAATCACGAATCCCATGAAATTAGCTGCTCATTAGCGCTTAATTTGACCACAATTAACTAGTGGGGTTGACCGGGTGAGTCCCTCAGAAGTCAAGAGCCGAGCGCGAAATCTCGGCCGCTGATTGAGGACGTGAGTGTCCGGGGGAGATGCGGCGACGGTCGATGAAGCGAGAACAGCCGGGTACGATGCGGAGCGGAGCACCGGAACACCAGGAAGACGTTGGAAAACACCGAAAAACCTCAAACTGATATACTTGTGACAAATTTACCCCGAACTAATATTTTGATCATCAAAACCTGTGACAAATTTACCCTAAACTAATTTTTTGACCACAAAAAACCTTAAACTTATACACTTGTCACAAACTTACCATTCTTTAAATCACAAATTAATAAATCTGTGACAAACAGAAGGGTAAAACCCCAAATAGCTACACCTGTCAATTGCCACGTATCATCTAAATCAGTAATTTGACGGTAAAATTTAACGAAAGCTAAATTTTTCACAGGTATATTAGTTTGAATTTTCAGTGGTCAAAAAATTAGTTCGGAGTAAATTTATCACAGGTGAAACAGTTTGGGATTTTTTGTGGCATGAACTATTTTTGTTTGGTTAATGTGATTTATAGGGTTTTGATGCGTCATTTTTTACGTAGCTTAAAAATGGGCACATTATAATTTCTAAGGTAGACTTTTTGAACGGGTGCAATTATCATAGCTTGAAATGCGAAGCAAATTTTCCCATCGAACGTGTCCACTAATTCGGAGGTTGTGGTAGCTCGAGAGGCGAAACGAAATTTTTGCTCCAATGCTTTGAATCTTGGGGGAGATGACGAGCGAGGGGGATGTAACGTCCCGGCACCATGTGTCTCAAGCACATTCATGCCGCGGTGCACGTGCCCCCGTATATAAAGCCACGTAATCGGCCATTTGGTGTGCCGATGCTGTTGATGATGGTGGTGGAGATGGAGATGGTGGTGGTGGTGGGAGTTGCGAGCGAGATCTAATGGTTCTGAGCAACTTGTGGTAGCTACTGCAGCAACACCCAGAAGAGACGGAGAGAGAGAGACAGAGAGAGAGCCTCAAATCTTATCTCCACCCAGTTCAAGTGTGTCTGTCCTTCCCCTTCTTCCTCGAGTTCTTGTTTTTGGTTCTGGACCAGAGTTAAACAGTGCAGCCCGCAATGGGAGAGGTCGTCATCTAAGCTTTCGAAACTCTCTGTCTTCTCTTGCTCTGTGTGCGTTCCATGGGCTGATGATTCCTTTCGGTCTGTGTGGGTGGTGCAGGAGGAGAAGAAGCCGCAGGCGCAGGAGGAGGCCAAGAAGCAGGAGGAAGCGACACCGGACAAGAAGGAAGAAGAGAAGAAGCCCGAGAAAGCGGCGGATGAGGAGAAGAAGGGAGAGAAGAAGGCGGAGGAATCCAAGGACCCGCCTCCTCCTCCTCCGCCGCCGCCTGAAATAGTGCTCAAGGTCTACATGCATTGCGAGGGCTGTGCTCGCAAGGTCCGCCGGTGCCTCAAAGGCTTTGATGGTCAGTCCTGAAAGCTGCTGAATCTGTGATTTCGACCAGTGCTCTGCGCTGAGATTCCGTTGTTTCTTCTTTTTCGTTCCACTGTTTTAAGGGGGTTTTGGTTTTGATTGGTTCTTTTTTTTGGCAGGAGTGGAAGAGGTGACGACGGACTGCACGACGCACAAGGTGGTGGTGAAGGGAGAGAAAGCAGATCCGCTCAAGGTGTTGGAGAGAGTGCAGAAGAAGAGCCACCGACAAGTGGAGCTTCTCTCTCCTATTCCGAAGCCGCCTGCACCGGAAGAGAAGAAGCCTGAAGAGAAAGAACCCCCCAAGCCCCAAGAGAAGAAAGAAGAGGTCCGTCTCTTTCCTTTGCTTCGAGGATTCGACTTTCTGCGACTTTGGGGTCTTCGCTTTTCATTTTGATTTCTTTCTTTTGCCCTCTTTTCTCTGGCGATTGTTCCGTTTCTGATTCTATCTTTCTGGGCACGAAATGTTGTTCTGCCGCCGCAGCTGATCACGGTGGTGCTCAGCGTGAATATGCATTGCGAGGCTTGTGCTCAGGAAAGCAAGAAACGCATCCTCCGAATGAAAGGTGTGAGCTTTCTCACCTCCGACGTCATTCGTTGTCATGCTGCCTTTCGTGTTTGATGATATCGTAACGTGAAAGTGGAAAAAGAAAGAAAAACACTTTTTTCTTTAAATCAAAGTTTTACGCTTTACTTTGAATCTCTATAGAAAAGGAGTTCACTCTTTTGTCTATTTCGAAAATCACGATCAGAATCCTATTTTATGTTCAGAGTCAGGGGAATACCGTTTGATTGGATTGGATTGAATAATGCATGTCTTTATTCAAATCAGCTTCTTGTTATGACGGAATCCATTGAATCAAATATCTCAAACAAGGAATTCCTTCAGTCAATTTGTATCGACCCTTCTCTGCACTCATCAAGCCAAGCCCGATCTTGACAATAACAACAAATGGGTTCTGGTGGTTTCAGGGGTGGAATCAGCTGAGCCAGATCTGAAGAGCTCGGAGGTGACGGTGAAGGGGGTCTTCGAGCCACCGAAGCTGGTGGAGTACGTGTACAAGAGGACGGGGAAGCACGCGGCGATAGTGAAGCAAGAGCCGGCGAAGAAAGAGGAAGAGAAGCCCAAAGACGCCAAGGAAGAGAAGAAGGCGGACGAAGGAGGAGGAGGAGGAGGGGACAAGAAGAGCGAGGGAGAGAGCAAGGAGAAGAAGGAAGGGGACGCCGCCGAGGCCGAGGCCGAGGCCGAGGCCACGGCGGAGAACAAGGTACGGGAGATGATGAACGAGTACTATTACTACTCTCAGTTTTACTCTGCCCCGAGAAACGTGCCCATGGATGTCTACGCGCCTCCGCCGGCGTACAATTACAATCAACCTCTGGTGGCGACTGCAGCATACCCACCTCAGATCTTCAGCGATGAGAACCCCAACGCCTGTTCTGTCATGTAAAAACTGAGACACCCTGAGGGTAGAAATGGGAATAAAATCCTTTCCCCCCCATGTCCTGGCTCCATGCTCTGCATGTGCCCTGTCCCTTGTTTAAAAGAGCATATCAACTACAGATGAAGCGGTAGAATTTTGTTTTGGTCTCTTCTTTTGTAGTACCCTTTCTCTCCCCCAATCTCTCTCTCTCTCTCTCTCTCTCTCTCTCTCTCTCTCTCTCTCTCTATATTATAAAAGAGAAGTTAAATCCGACCAAAAAAAAATAATCTCATGTTAACATAGAAAAATAATAGCACCATGACATGAATACAGAATTCTGCACTTTTTGGAACTGGGTAATCTTTAAACTATCCCCGGCTTATGTTTTGGGGATGTTTGATGTATTATTTAAAGTGTGGAGATTCCTAGGCAGGTCTTTACTTCTCGCGCACTCTGTTTCTTGGCTCGGGACAAGTGGGTTTGGCCGGTTGGTTGAGCGAGTGAAATGAGTGAAACATGGACCTCAAGATGCTAAACGCAACGCATGTTTCGCCACTCACCAGCACTGGTTTGGTGTGTGTGTGTGGTGAGTAGTGAGTTGATGGCACAGTTACATGTGATGTGCCCACCGAGATCGACGTTGGCAGAAATGAAAAAGAACAAGAAGTTTCATTTCAATAGTCGTTCGTCAATCGTTAGGTTGAGATGAAAACTTAGAATGGAAAAAAGATGTCGGCCACTTCATCGCTCGGAAAGATATGCCCGGCCTGTTTAAGGATATGCAGATGAAGACAAATATGGTGGGGGGAGGTCAAAGATTATTGGTGGCGAACTGTTCGGTGATTGAGATGTTTAAGCAACGGGTGTAATGTAATCGTCCTTGATCAGATTCGAGACCTTTTTCCCTATAACCTTTCCGATTGTGAAAATAGATGCCGCTTGCAAAGTTTACAATAGCTTACAGCCGTGCCACCTAATTCTAAAGGCAATGCAGTTTTAAGTCGTGTATTACTACGTATATGAGTCGCGTCACTTGATCATACGGTTATATCCATTAAAATGGTTTCCGCCACAATAATATCAAATGAATTCTTATAAACGGCGAAGAAGATAGTAACGAAGAGATTTACGCAATGGTCTCTCCGCGTTGTGTGTAAACACTTGTAAACGGTGAAGAGATGTAAGAAAGAGAGTGTTTTTTCATTGCTCCTGACGTCGTGAAATTAACCATCTTGATCTTGGAGCGCCCATTTTAATGGTATAATCTGATTTCGCTGGGGGTCATCCCTACAGCAGAGATATTCCTCTTATGCCTCAGTCTTTCGTGTCCCGTGAGCTAAAATTCCACTCTATGACCCGTTAAACTGTTCACAAAACAGGGTACCGTCCTCGAGAGATCCAGAAAGCAAAACGACATTTAAATGCATCTGCCATGTGTATCAGGATATCTAGGATAAAAAGATACGGGAAGGGTGGGTAATGCAATAGATTAGAGGAGCGAGAGAGATGATGTTATGAGCAATGCCCTGTTTCTTTCCGCCCTACAGAGCAATAATGGAGGAGTGCTAATTACAGCTGCAAATGCTCAGAGGCCTGCATAGGCCATCTTACCTGGTTTGGGGCAAGCAGGAGTGACGTGGTGATGAGTGGGTACTGGCTCGTTTCAGAAACAAATGCACAGATTTTTCCGGGGGTGGGTGGTGGTGAAAGGCGTAAACATCATGGTTAGGCTGGCAGTAAGTCTCGGTCTCTTGTAATAGGTATTAGAGTAGAGAGTGGTGAGTGAAGTTCGTGCGTGCTTTGTGTCCAAAAGTCCAATTAGGTCCCCACTGAGTTGGAGTAGGGAGGGTGGGAGAGAGATTCTCAGATGCCATAAATGAGATAAAAGCTCAGCTTGCGCACGGCACTCGCCCTTTCCTCGAAGCATATACATTTGATTGCGGCCCTGTCGAGTGCGTGCCCGCCTCAAGCAGTCTTCGTACGTCTCATTCATGCCTCGTTACCCAATTCGTCTTTTTGATTGAAAGATTGAGGGTCCATCACGAATCACTTGGCCATTTCCCGAGAGGTTCTTCGCCCTCGTTTCAACTTCAGTCATGTTTGACTTTTCTGTCGAAGTACATCAGAAGCTTAAGATCAGTGTTTGACTACTTGATGTATATATCTGTGAATGTTTTGTCCCCCTCTGTACGTGAAGCTTGATGGTCATGACACTCGACATAAGATCATCATCCCTACTCTAACAAATGGCCATGCTCAGAGATGTTATTAAGAAGGTGAGATTGGCACACATATGTTAGGGAACACAATTTGCCGGTATCATGTTGGTATGCTCGTGCCATACATGTTTATGTTTCGTATCGTGTCCGAGCTACTCCGTCGACCATTCGGATTCCATGTACGTACCAAGATGAGTGTCGGGGAGAGCTATAATAAAGAAGCACACCGAAGAGGCCATTCAGGATTTTTAAAGAACCATGAAAAGCTCGACAAAAACCAGATTTCATGGTCATCCTTATCCCAACATGGACCGAAAATACGCACAAAAAGATGATGGGCGACGAAACTGCCGATCCGAGAAATCAAACGAAACTGTAATGGGAGATGATGCAGAGGAGTGTTGGCCATTCTTGCGGAAAAGATGAAGCAAGGCCAAGGCCTTCCTCTCGTTTTCATCAAAACAAAACCGCGACTCCACACCACACCACCCCACCCCACCCCCTACTTGCTTTCTCCATCTTTTTTCGCTTTTGTCCTTTTCCGGTATAGGGTTAATACTACAAAAAACATCAAACTGATACATTTATAACAAATTTATCAAAATCTAAATTTTTGGACCACCAAAAACCACAAACCGTGACAAATTTCCCCTCCGTTAGTTTCCGTTAAACTTTACCGTCAATTTTCTGAATTGAATGACACGTGGGCAGGTGTAACAGTTTGTGATTTTTCGTGATGTTAATTCAATTTAACGGAGGATAAATTTGTCATAAATGTACTAGTTTATGATTTTTTTTGTCAATAAATTAATTTTGAGTAAATTTATTATAGATGTACCGGTTTAGGATTTTTTGTGATATTAATCATTCTGAAAAAGAGTTTTCTAAAGTTTCATATCATCATCATCTTTGTTCGAAAAAAAAAATCATCATCATCATCCATATGTAGAAGGTCAAATTATGAGAACTTAGGGAATGAGAGTATGATATCCTCTTTGTTGAAGTGGCGAATGTAACAGACAAGTCAAGGGTGGTGTTGTCGTTATAACCGAGAAACGATAAACCCCAAATTGATACATACATTACAAATTTATCCAAAACTAATCTCAAACTGGTACATTTGTGACAAATTTACTTTTCATTAGTTTCATGTAAATTGAATTAATACAACGAAAAACTACAAATCGATGATGGAGGTAAAACTCCAAACTAGTACACCTGTCAACTGTCACGTGCCATCCAACTCAGCAATTTGACGGTCAAATTTGACGGAAACTAACGGAGGGTAAATTTGTCACGGGTTTACCAGTCTGGGGTTTTTTAATAATATTAACCCTAAAAGAAAATTTGATTTCCGAACAATCGATTACTCGAAATTAAGAGAAAATGAAGTATGTGTCGGACAATCTGTATTTTCTTGATTACACTTTCTTTGCGCGCACCTCGACTATTCTAAGCAAGAATCCACCGTCGCCTCCACTTAAATCAGCCAAATTAAGACGAACAATGACACAATGTGTCGAGCGTAACAATCTGTATTGGTCTTGATTACACTTATCAATTGAGTATTTTACCAAAATTTAAGATTTTATTGGCGGGGTTTAATAAAATGGTAGCGAGGAATATCAAAAAAGAACGGGAAAAAAAAGGACAAATCCCAAAAAGCGGGGGTGGGGGCCAAAGTTATCGTAATCACGTACCACGAGGAGTCTCGGAAACGTTGAGAACGAACTCCAACGCAAACTCCAACCCTTCCTTCCTCTTTTTTTTAACACTTTTAGAAGTTGCCTAGCCAAACCAACCCCATCTTTTCTTCCTTAGTCACCTTTTTTGTTATTTACTATCTCAGAATAGCAAATATTCTCTGAATCGGAGCCCCCTTCGATCTCCGGGGTCCCCTCGATCTCGGCTTCTCAGGGTGCGCGATTCGTTACTGATTGAATTGAAAAAATTCGCGCCCCGCGGCACGTGCCGATGCGCGCACTTGCTAGCGACACTGTAGGAGAGAAATTACGTGAGGTTCCAAGGTTAAAATAAGTACAAGTTGCCGATTTCGGCACACTTTGGTTGGCCCATCGAGCTTAGAGAAAGGCCAGGCCATGCCATGCCATGCCATGCCGTGAACCGCTCTGCTGCGACACGAATTGTAAAGTACCGAGTACTACAAATTATTCAAATTTCACCTGAGCAGGGGAGAGAGGGAGGGTGGGAGAGCAGAGGGGGAGGTGGGGGTCGCCCACCCATTAAATTCGACTGGAGGGGAGCTGCCAGAGCTGCTGCTACCACTTTGGATTCATCTCGGGGTGTTGCGAGACCCCAGAAAAGAGGAAAGGCTGACGCGCACACCCTCTCTCGCTTTTTTACCCCCACCACCACCCCCCAACTTGCGACGGTGATGATGAGGCGGCTGATGGGAGGGTTACTAACGCACCCTGTGGAATATAGCTTCTAGCTTAGGCTCGGTTTTTCACATACCCCCTCCCTTTATTCCTTTTAACGGATAACGGCACGAATGATCTCCGAACTTTAATTTGATGTATAATTTCATCGTTAGACTTTTAATTTTTTCAATATAATTTCTGAATTTTAGTCTTATGTCCAATGTGGTCCCTAAACTTTTAATTTGTTCGATACCATCCCTAAATTTTTTATCCGTATTCAATTTAGTCTCTAAATTATACGAAAATATGCAATGCAGTCCTCATGGACTCCATTGAGCATATACCAAAAGTTCAAAGACCACTTTGAACAAATAAAAAATTCATGAACCACATTGTACATTGGGTTAAAGTTCAGGGATCACATTGCATATTCGAACAAAGTTGAGAGACCATTTGTGTCATTTTCCCTTCTTTTTAATGACGAAAGCCATCAAGAACTCTAAATTATGTTCATAGTAACACGCTTACTCTAAACTTTTTTTTCGAGACACCAGAAATTTCCAAACTC